TGGTTGAGAGTGGTGAGAGAGACGCCGGGGAACCCAGGTAGTCATGATGATAAGATGATTTAATGACAAACCAAGAGAAACAACTGAAAATCACTGGCAGCACAGCACAGGAACAGACACAGACGTGAGACGAGGGTGTTACACGACGAGGATCCGACACAGACAAAGACAACAGGTGGGGTTAAATACACAGGGAAGGTAATCAGGGAACGGGATACAGCTGGGAGCAATCAACAGGGAAGACAGATTCACAGGGGAAACTGGACTAACACAGAAAAACTACACAGAAAACACAGATCCTAACAGAGAGATGTTTGCCTTTCAGCAGAACAATAATCCAAAAGTCAGAGCTGCAGTGGAACATGTGGTTCAAAGCATGTTCTTGTTTTTAGATGGGCTTGTCAAAGTCCAGACCTAAATCCAATTGAGAATGTCTGGCCAGGTTTGAAAACTGATGTATAAATTCTACCCATTCTGTCTGAGCTTGAGCTATTACGATCAACGGGCAAAATCTGAGTTTTCAGATGTGTAAAACAGATAGAGGAACAGCCCACATGACTGCAGTGTTAATTGCTGTGAATATTTTTTGCAAGACTCTGTAAATACCTTCAAAGTACACTAACATATTTTAATAGCTGAGATTCAATGAACTGTTGACATGGGTTCTTAGGAAAATTACAATACAACTGCAAATGTATCCAAAAAAAAGTTATAAAGCTGTTGGTAGTTTTTCTTAATGTTTTTTTTTTTAGTTATTTTAGATGTATGACATCACCAGAGCACCCTCACCTAATGGTGCTAAAAGTCTTGAAGCCCAACTTGATCCCCCATGTCCAGATTGGCTGAAAAATAAATGAATCTTTAAATCACTGTTCTTTCATTTAGATCTACTTTTTTTCTCAGGACTCTCATCAATGTTTTTTTTTTTTTTTTAAGTGACACCAATGATACTGTGAAACTTCCATTTATCAATCTGAATATGTAATCAGACTACTATTATCCTTTGTCGCGTGAAAAGAAACTCACCATTAGTGTCTCGGTCATTACACTTGTCAGAAACACTGTTAAGCCCGGATATTTACTAAATGGCATTTCCACAGGTAGTGCATGGAGCATTTTATTCCTGCTCAAGTGGAAACTTTTGTTTGTGTACAGAGGAATGCAAGCATTTGCATTTAGATGCACCTTTTAAATGCAAAGCGATCACAGCGGTAACGGTCCATCGACGGTTTCCCTGGGCCTGCAGAGGATTTTCTACTGGGGCTGTTATTGTCCAGTTGGTCACCCTTCACGCAGCACGGCTGTGACAGAATGCCCAAACATTTAGGCCTCACATGCCTGGGCAGTTTGTTGACTGTTGGGAATTGGAGCCGACAACTGGCAGGACTGGAGCCTGATGGGGTGCGGAAAAGTACTGGTGGTAGCCCGAGGGGCCCCGCCTCCCCCCTGACCAGTACAGTTCCCATTGAGGCAACTTTGAAGAAAAATAACCTCTAGTTTCAGGCTAAAGTAAGATCAAGCTTATCAATATGTTGTGTAAATAGAATTTTATGTCCTTCATGGGTTCATTATAAACTGATTAAAACCTTGTTGGAGTGTTACAGATGCAGCTGGAATGGACAAGTATCTGTTTACCCCTGATGCTGATCATATTTCAGCACCTTCTCTCGACCTGCTCACATTTCTGAAAATCTGCAAAAGCGTCTTTGTAAAGTCTCTGCAAAACATTTTTTTTTACTGATTATCTTCAATTCATTAGTTCAGGTTTATCTAATGATCCAGAAAAACTTTGTCATAAAGAAAATATTGTTAGTGTACATTATTTCAGTCTACTTTCTACCTGTCTATAAATAGAAATGCTCATACTTGTCTCATTCAAAAATGGCCCCAAAACAGTTCTGTGGGTACTTTTGCGAACTGTTTTAAACGTTTGTTGAAAAATGATCCTCTTCAGTTTTGACTGTCTAAATATTACAGATGTTGAACTAGTAATTATTAAATTTAGTGGACATTTTCTAAAACAAACTGTGAACTAGCCCTAGTTTGCTGCGAAATTGGAAGTTACAGATCAGCAGTATCAACTGGTTACTGACTGAAAATACAAAAAAGCATTGGGAAACCGTATCGACAGACTGTATTTTGTCTCCACTCTTTCATCCCCTTGATGGCCTGGGGCTCTGACCAGTGAGGCACGTTGCCACCAACGCTAACAACTCAGGGGTGTCCAAAGTGCACCACAATTAAAAAATACAGAGAATCTGTCCTGCTGTAAGCACAGAGGGTTGATGCAGGTCAGCACTTTTCTAAGAAAAATCTGAAAAGAGTGAGAGTTTCATTTTTATGTTATTAACCATGTTGCTGTTTTTAATGACTAAACTTTGCTAAGTAGAGCAAGGCCTGACCTTTGCCCTGTGCTTGTTCCCCATCACAACATCTGAGGACAATGGACCCAAAAGAAATTATCATTAGTACAGCAATTGTACAAGACACTTTTTTGTGTTCAGGATCAACAATGATTTCCATATCACTGCTTCATTAAAATCTTGCATGTTTAGAGTGTTACTGAAGAGATAAAAAGAAATTCATTTTTTTGTGGCCCTTGAGTGCTCTCAACTCTTTGACTTTGGCCCTGTTGGCAAAAGGTTTGGACACCGCTGTCTTAAGTAGACAAAACTGAACCAACCGAGCTATTCTGAGCATCTGCACTGTAAAACACGATAAGTGGACTTTACTTTAAAAATGTGTACAGACTTGTTGCCTCGAAAAACACCAAAGTTTCAAAATGTAAAAATGTTAGCATGTGCAAGTTTACACACCTTGACTAACTTGACCATTTTCAGTAAGTTATAATGACATAATAATACATGACTTAACTGAAAATTCTATGTTCCTGACTCCTACTTTTTATGTTTCTCTGCTCAAAAATTGACAGAAAACATAAAGAGCAGTGATAGTTTGCTCACTTTTTTGCAGTAAAACAGTCATACTTTAAAGCATTTTTACCTCAAAAGACCCTCAGCTTTTCAAACAAGTATGATGTGCAGTATTGCAAACCTAAAGTTTAAGTACTGCGAACCTAAAATAACCTGATACATTTTGTTTAGTTGTACATGAACTAAACAGAAAAGACATATGGACTTAAAAGTCATATGCAAATAAACTATTTTGTCAAAATAACTTTCCATGGTAAACAATACTCTTAAACGTATCTAACATGTTATTCTCAGCCATTTTTTTTCTTCCTACATCACCAAGAGCATTGTATTTGTTACATACATTAAAAAAAAAACATAGTGTCATCAAATCATATTTTATTTTTCAAAACTTAAAAATCAGTTGTACAGAATTTCAAAGCATTCTCTTTGGTTTGCAGATTTGCTTGAGCAGAAATGGAGTAACGTCTGGACTTGTCCTGAACGTTAAGTGTTAACCCTCCACAATCCAAACTATTTCAAATACCTAACTTATTTTTGACTGGGATTTCATCATCAAAAACAAGAACAACCAACTCTGACGTGTACATGCGATGGTCATGCTCAGCGGGGATCATATCACATGCTCGTACGAGGAGTTAAAACTACAATAATATCTAATCTCTATCTTCATGTACAAACATCTGACTCTTCACTCTTATATTACTTTCTCTTTTGTGGTTTTTCAAAACAAGAAACTGCACAAACTAAAACATGTTCTGACTTAGAGCTCGCTCGTGCTGGCTTTCTAGAGACAATCCCAGCGGTACTGACGCAGCCGCCGTTTATGTAACAAGAGATTTGATTAGGACAGCCAGTTCCCTGATGAAGGCATTTCTATTCAAAACTTTACGTGGCGGACTTCCAGGGAATCATTCACAGACTGGGAGCTGGGAGGACGTAAACAAGTAGCAGTGGACCAGACTGTGTCATCAAGAAGATTAAGGAGAAGGTTGGAAATTTGATCTTTCAATAAAAAAAAAAATCTGATTCACATCAGATCCTAATGAATGGATGTAAAAGCAAATAAATAGTTGAACAGTTCATTTGATTACTAATTATATACAATACATAAAAAGCATAGATGGATGAACACATGGATGGACGTATGCATGTATGAATGGATCCTGTTATACACATAAAACCTGTGTTTATGTGGGTGTGTTAAGAAGAAAGCAATTTCTAAAAGAAAATCTTTGGTCATGTTTGCCGTTTGACACAAGCCACATAGTTTACACAACAAACATGCAGAAGAAAGTGCTTCCAGTCCGATTACACCAAAACTGAACTTGGTACTGGTATTGTTAATGCAAAAACACTTTGTGTGGTGAAAAACTGACCTTGCACAGCACCCTGAGCACAACACCCCTATTGTGAAACATAGTGGCAGCATCATGCTGTAGGAATGTTTTCTTTTCAGCAGGGAACTGCACAAGCTAAAATATGTTCTGACTTAGAGCTCACTCTAAGTCAGGTGGTCAGAATCGATGTGGAAAAACACCTGTTAGAGACTTTAAAAAGACTTAATATGATAAAGGTTAATCTCCCTGCAGCTCAACTGTCCTAAGCAGGCAGTCAGACCTCAATCAATAAAGTTTATTTGTTGATTGAATGGCCTAGTCAAGGCTCAAACATAAATACAAACGCATGTTGAATCAAACTTGCATTAAATGTCTCATATTAAATTGAAGTTAATTGTTTGGATTTAGAGTCAAAAATAAATTATAAACTTGAATAAACTCTCATATTAACCCACTTCATATGTTTCTGATATCCCTGCCCATCCCCGCCCCCACCAAAGTTGCAGTTGGTGATTCGTGGAATGAAGCGGGGCTGCCAAACAGCACGTATGTTTACTTGAGCCGTTGCTTCAACTGTTCTGGAAGCGCTTCCTTTCTGGGAGGGTTCAAACGTCACTAGCCACGCCTCCTAACGGCTCCGATTGGTCAGTCTGGAGGGTAAATAAAATTACTTTCTTCTGATTGGTTGAAGATCAGTATTTTCTTTCCCCCCGCAAGCCGTAGCAGCTAGAAACCAACCCACTCAGAGAAAACTGGGGGCAGAGCCTCCCTTCGGGGTTATTATTGACACAAACTGGACCTAGAAGAAAAAAAAGGAACCATCTAATAGCCATCATGAAGTTTGTACGCTTTATAATGAAAAACGCCGCGTTGGCCAACGCGCCGAAGCACATCGAGCATTTCTCCAAATTCTCTCCGTCTCCGCTCTCCATGAAGCAATTCATCGATTTCGGTGAGTTGAGCTCGAATTTTATTTGGTCCATTTTAGCAAAGCTACCTGAACGGTTTAAATCCGTAGCTAAATTCTGCAACGCTTATTCATGCTGTGAGTTATAATAGTGAATTTCAAAGCATGCATCTGCTGTGCTGTGCACGGGCCTGCTGCAATTTGCTGTTCATAGGCGCTCAGTGTTGCATCAGATCTGCTGCAAACTCGGGCTGCACCATTTTGCCTCTAACTGGTCACAAAAAAAAAAACAAGTCATAATCTGCAGGTGTTAATTTATGTAAAGGAATAATTTTACTTTAATAAAATGGTAAATGTACTCAAATAAAACAAACTTTAAAGTTGGGTCAATAGGCTTGCTCAGGCGGTTTAAACTCTAAAGAACTCGGCAACTTAAAGCGAAACAGAGGAAAAAGAATTTATTTTTGCAAATAAATTGCTCAATTTATTGTTTTCTATCTTTCAGACCTTTATCTACCATCAAAACTGTTCACAAAAACAACTTTTAACCTGCAAATGGGACCATTTAAACATACATCATATTTGACTTTATTTATTCAAAATACACTCAGGTAATTCAAAATTAAATTTCTGATGGATGTGCTTGCTCAAAACTCTTCAAAATGTCTAAAAGAAAGTAGAACAATAAGGAATAAATGAAACTTTGTATATGTGTGAGAAAAAAAAAACAAAAACAGAATTGATTGTTTTCCTCTTTGTTTACTCCTAACTCTCAGGTTCCATCAATGCCTGTGAAAAGACATCCTTTGTCTTTTTGAGGCAGGAACTCCCCGTGAGACTCTCCAACATCATGAAGGAGATCAACCTCCTGCCAGACAAGCTGCTCACTACTCCCTCAGTTCAGATGGTGCAGAGATGGTGAGTTGTTTATCCAGGAGACGGCCTATTGACTTTCATTGACCTGGGTTTTGTCTTCAGGCTGAAACGTCACCCTTTCTTGTGGCCAAGTTTTATTACAATCACAGCGGCTGTTGTTTACCACAAACTGGGGCAGTTGATCCGCCCTCTTTAGTTACATAACACTCTGAATTACAACAAAGCCGTGTGACCGAGTTGTGCTCTCTCCAACTTGCTCAGAGCGGAGGATGGTGGGGAGTGGCTCTGAGCTGTGAACTTTAGCCCAGTTTCCCCCGTCACAGGCCCACGTGACCTGTGTTTTTCTCACTGCACTATTTTTCCTTCCTTCATGAACTTTCACTTCCTTCAGATTTACTCTGCTGTGCCTCCTATGTTTCCCATCATATATTCATGGGTTTGCTTCTTTTTCTTTTTCTTTTTCAGGTATAGTCAGAGTTTAATGGAGATCCTTCACTTCCTAGACAAGAATCCAGATGACCACAGAGTGCTTGCAGAGTAAGGCTTTAGTTCTTGTCCAGATGTTATAACAGAAGGCTAACTTCCCAATTAATGCGTAAATGCATCTGTTTCTGGAAGATGCCAAGTGCCCGACAGCTGAAGGTGTATACTTTCTCCCATACTTTCTCCCCAGGTTTGTCGATGCTTTGGTTACCATCAGAAACAGACACAACGACGTGGTGCCGACCATGGCGCAGGGGGTCATTGAATACAAGGAGGTCTTTCCCCAGGATGTGGTCACCAACCAGAACATCCAGTATTTTCTGGATCGCTTCTACATGAGTCGCATCTCCATACGAATGCTGATCAACCAGCACAGTAAGCCCACAACCAGTTTCGAAATTCAGCTATAATTAGTTTTTCTGTGTTTGTTTCTTTAATTTATATTTTCCGTTTGTGGTTTACTTTCATTATTGTTTCTTTTTATTATTATTATTTTATACCAAAGCATTTTTTTTTTTGTTAAAGACGTGCTACAAGTTTCATTTGTCGCTTGCCTGATGAACAACCTAATCACTCACAAAAGAAATCCTTAAAGGCAAAAATATTGAAAAATGTCCGTTACAGTTATAATCTGAGGTGATTTAGACAACGAACGTAACAAAAGCTCCTTGTTTTTCTTTCAGTCATCATTGACCTTACTTAGACGCCACGGTTCAGCAGAGGACAGATTTATTGACCTAGGTTTTTAAAATGTCAGTTTTGTGCTGAAAATCATCCCTTGTTGCATTTATTTCTATGAGTATCAAACATTATTGGGTAGACATGACAGCAAAGGGAGCGTTTAGCTTCTTATCTCATTTGGATTGGCAACAGACATTCACATATTTAAGTTTACACAAGTCTATTCCAAACATCACACCCCACAAATGATGAGAGCCAAAAGACAGGAGAAATAAAAGTGGATAAGGCCGCAGGTGCGTCAGCATGTTCTTCATTAATCAGCTCAGATAGCCTATCTCTGCTTAGCTGCTGACATGTTTCAGGACCCTATGCGTTTGTGTTGCAGCTGAATTCATACGTGCAGTAAAACCCGCACAACTGGTGCAGAAGGAGATAAGAGAAGGAAAGAACGGTGTCTTTTTTTTTTTTCCTTTTTACCTGGAACGGTCCTGCAAAGTCTAGTTTTGTTTGCCATAGAGCGCTTGGATAATCCACGATGTTGAAACACAAACTGCTGAAGCACACACTATCGTTGATCCAAAGTGAAATATTTCAAAACTGCTGTTGCATGAAGGGGAAACGTCAAGCGTTATATAACTTCGTCCCTATCGAACCAGTTTCACACCAGGGGCAACTTTTAATGCCCTGCACGTCTTTCGTAACATTTTGTTTTTCCAAACTAGGGGCCGAGCAAAAATGACTGCATGTATGCATGGAAACCACTTAATACTTTTACTCTTCCTTTGCACAGGCAAGACCAAGAGTGTGCAATCGACAAGACTTTTTAAACATTTAAAAACTTTTTTTTCTTGCAAAAACTTTGTAGGTAAAATATAAAATGTCGAAAACCCCTGATTTTCCCTTATTCTCTTGTTTTTTTTTGCAGCTCTTGTGTTTGATGGCACCACTAACCCAGTCCACCCAAACACAATAGGAAGCATTGACCCTCAATGCAATGTAGGAGATGTAGTCCAAGGTGAGTCTGAACTTGACTTAAGGCCTCAAAATACTCAAACTGGCCACAATTTATAGCAATCATTTGTTTTTCAGCTACCTTGCGGTTTTAAAGTAGCTGAAATCATGTTTCATCTACTTTTAAAAACAACGTTTTGTGTTTTGTTTTGTCTGCAATTAAAATTAAGTTCCTTTTCATTTTCATCAGATGCCTTCCACAGTGCGAAGATGTTGTGTGACCAGTACTACCTCCGCTCTCCTGATTTGGTTCTGCAGGAAATGAACCGTAAGTTTTCCTGTGATTTGTTCCATATAGTTTAACGATTTGGTGCTATGCAAAAGTTTTCATAGTCCTTGACCCCTTTTTTTCACTTTTTGTGAAGTTTCACTGTATTTTATGGGGATTTCTTGAAAACAGACCAACACAAAGCAGATGAAATGAAAATTTGTGTATTGTGCCTTTGTTTTTATATTCCCCTAAACAAAGCAAACAACAGCCTTCAGAAATGTCCCCATTGTGGGAGTAGATGTTGTGTGTAGCAGATTATGAATGAAGAGCTGATATCTGTATAGATATTTATATAAATATTTTTTATTCTTCTTCTTTTGCACAGACAAGACGAAGAGTCACCCAATAAGCATCGTTTATGTGCCCTCCCACCTTTATCACATGTTGTTTGAGCTTTTCAAGGTAGGAGATGCTGCCTTCTAATTCATGCATGTGCCTAAAATTAACAATCATTGAAAATTAACAATCATTAAAAAAAGAATTCTAAGTTTCTTTTTTTTTTCCTTTGTAGAATGCAATGAGAGCTACCATTGAGACTCATGAAAACAGGAACAACCTCCCACCCATTAAGGTCATGGTGTCTCTCGGTGGAGAGGACATGTCAATCAAGGTGAGACAAAGTTTAAAGTGCAGGGCCACTACATTTCCAGCATTGCATAAGATGAGTGCACATAGTTTTACAACTTCAAAGGGCAGTAAAGAATATGCTTCATGGTCAGATAAAATATTTTATTTTGGGGCAGGAAGACACCAAATCTTTATCCTCTCTCAGGATCTTTGCACTGACCAGTCTTAAGAAATCTGAATGTGATCAGTTTTGTCTTTCAATGTGTCAGATTTAAATGAAGCCAGTATTTCCCAGCAGAAGTTGTTTTTGCTCTCTGAATGTTTGATCTGTCCCACTTATGTAACGTTTTAGTCCTCGTTTCATCGCCGCGCTTTCTGTAGCCTCTCCGATAAGATAAGTCAATATGAATTGTGCTTTTACAGTCAGCCCGACGTTTCACCGGGATCAGCAGGCATCTGGTTGTCATCTTGCTACAACTGGCCCAGTTGAACAAACAGAATCGCTGTAGAGAAAATCAGATGACCTATGTATTATTATAAAAACAAAAGCTCTGGGTCAGGAGTATCTTTGATGACAAAGAGAAATTAAGGGCAGACTGGACTAATACCAGCAATAACTTTAATGTCTTCATTTAGGAGAGAAACAATATAGACCCAGAAGTACTGAGCCAAGTCTACTTTCAGTTGCAATGTAAGCTGAAAGCTTTCCTTTATTAAGCGTAACTAAACTGCTGTAGTAGCAAGGCTGAAAAACACTGGACACTTTCTCTACATGTATCAAACAGTGGTTGCTAAGTAATCCAAATTATCATCCTGCCTTAAACTAGTAGTAGTAGTAGTAGTTGCGTTTTTCAAAATATTTTATGTATACATCTGTGCTAATCATTAATTAATCATTAACCTATATATATATATATATATATATATTAGCTTTTACTTGCAAAATCTGCAGTTTAACGATTACAACATTCTATCTAATCTTTTCATTTTTGACCAGGTTAGCGCTCATCTCCCGTCAGCACTCATTCATGTCTTCTGTTTTTCTGTCTGCCCCCCCCGTAGGTGAGCGACAGAGGCGGCGGCGTCCCGTTTCGCAAGATCGAGAACCTTTTCAGCTACATGTACTCCACAGCTCCTGCTCCACAGATCAGCGACCACTCCAGCACACCGTTGGTAAGGAGGGTTTTGGTTTAGATGTACAGATGCTCTCAACCTTTGTGCTTCTCAAAGATGTTTTTAGTCTTTTATATAGACTATGCTCTGTAGAGATTGCATTTCTGCCACCTTTTTTTTTTTTTTTGTCATTTGACGTTATCTCCCTACAGTCATCAAAAGCGAATCTAAAATAAGGTGCTACTAGTTCCGAATGACAAGTTTTAAGCCTTTCCCCTTTCTCTGCAGGCTGGATTCGGCTACGGCCTTCCCATTTCTCGTCTGTACGCCAAGTATTTCCAGGGGGATCTGCACGTTTACTCGATGGAGGGTTTCGGCACAGATGCCGTCATCTACTTGAAGGTGAACTAGTCTGTGCATGGAATTGTGGCACAAAACAGTCGGGTGAGAACTTCCTTTTGATTTAGTAAATTTGTTTTTATGGTATGTCCCTCTAGGCTCTTTCCACGGACTCTATCGAAAGGTTGCCAGTGTACAACAAAACCGCTCTGAAGAACTACAAAATGTGCCAGGAGGCTGATGACTGGTGCGTGCCCAGTAAAGAACCCTTAGATCTGCGCAAATACAAGGTGGCCTAGTCAGACCTTCGGACGCAGCCGCCGCTTTAAGACTACAAAGCATGGATTCTCCATGAACCACGTCCTAGTATTCCCATGGGATCGTCCGCCGAAGCAGACGAGCTTCTCGCACCTCCCAGAACCAGAGCAGATTTCAGCCGGCGTCACCAGTAGCATGTCATTTCCAGCTTCTGTCATTCATTTTGGTTTCTGTCTGCAATAGAGAAATTAGACAAACTCAGAACTGCTACCAACAGGACATTTAAATAAAGTTACCATGGAGACCTGGTGAAGCAGCCCGAGCGCTGCTGAAACGAGACTCGGCGGTAAAAGGTGGAGTCGTGTGCAGGTAGGGGGAGACGGAGGAGGGCACCCAGCGAGTTATCGGGTGCCCGGAAATGAGGGAGAAGTCGAGAGTAAGAGTGGACAGAAGAAGAAGAGGAAGTTGAAAGAGATCCAGCAGTTTTGAGTTAGATGTAGAGGCTTTTACATAACAGGGGAAATTTGTTGTTCATCTATGCGTTATAGTAGCAAATCCTCCCAAAGGCACGTCTTGTTTAAATACTTGAACTATCACAACTGATATTTGCACCTTAAATTTGATGGTACTGTAACGGTGTTGGGTTTGGAAATTTTGAGCAAATGCTAGACTCTGAAGTTGAGTTTTCTTTTCTTTTTTTTCTTTTTTTTTGCATGAATTTTCTTACAGACTTTCTGTATTTCAGCCTTTGTAAGTATAAAAAAAAAAAAAAACTGATCTTGTGCTCAGTTTTTTGGACCAGGCTGAATTTAATCCTCTTTTTTTTGTGCATTGTTTGTAAGAACTACAAAGAAAAAGGGCATCGTTTTTAACAAGCCGCAGCCCCACTGGGCCCAAGTTTGCTGTCGGTCCATCAGAGTATTTGCCAGCCTTGTCTCAAAACTAAAAGCTTGAAGACAAAGTCATTATAAATGAGTGTTATTAAGTCTCAGTGGGTGCCATGTTTGTGGTTTTAATAGGCCAGTTTTTCGCACACTGTGCCAAATGAGACTGTCGAGGGTCCAGGTGTGTTCACAATAGTTTTTATTGTGTTAATCTAACTCATGCAGTATGCAAAATGTTATTTTTATAGCTACACTTTGACTGAAATAAATGTAAATACAGTTAATAAAAACACCTGAAGGCAAAATGGTATTTTTGTCTTGTCTTTTTTTTTTTGTCTTGTGTGTTTGGGCATTATAAGGTTGTTAATTAAATCTGTACAGAGAGACGTGAACAAAGCACACAGACCTACTGGTTTAGTGTCGCTGGCAAAGAGATCAGGTAGAGCCGCCGTTCCATCATCGGATAGTTGAAAAGAAACTTCTTGCTGCACTTTTAGCTACGTTGTTCATTGCTATTGTCAGTCTATTCGCCTGTGAGTACAAACTGTTTTGTCACACTGTTATGCCAGCAGATTGTTTTCCGGCCATTTCTGGCTCAAAGCCCAGTAAGGCAGAGGTTGCAGGGGGTAAACCGAGACGGGAAGGGCTTGTTTGTCTAGTATTCGAAGCATGTGAGACCCCCGCAGCTAAAGGCTAATAGCCTGATGCAGTGCTATTAATAGCTGACTGCTTATAGACTTTGCTGGATGTGATTTTTCAACCATGGAGGACTTTATGTGGTAGACACAAAGTGGAGCAAAAGGAGAATTTAGACGGAATTCCACTTATGTCTAATTAAAAATCTACAAAATAGGACAGACACATTGAGTTCCTTAAGTCAGTGCTTTATACGGCCATCTTTATTCTTCATTTTTAAGTTTCGAGTCATTTGGGATTTTTGTAGATTTAAAAACTGAAATTCCTCCATTTTTTTTTCTTTTTTTTTTTGCTTAGTGGCTCAGATGGTGTCAGACTGGATGGAGAGCCTCCATAAACGCCAATCTTTAGGTCATGCAATACATTCATAATTGAATTCTGGTCTGGACTGACTGGGCCAAGCTAAAACATGAGTATTCTTAACCCTTGTGTATGCAAGACTGAAGCGATACACCTATTAGCAGCCAGGAAAGGGTCTCCTTGGAAACTGAAGATGGAGCGCTTTAGATATGATTGAATCACAACAAGAACATTTCAGCTGCAGTTCATATTTTATGTATATTATTCTCAGGTCAAGTATTCTGGTTAACAATGAATGAATGAAGTACTTTGTAAAAGTATTAACACTTTTTTTTTTACAGTTCAACCACATTTGTTTTTTCTTTTGTTAATGTAGTTTGAAAATATATGAATGTCTTTTTATAAACAAAACCCTGATATGTTTGTTGTAAGTCAATATTGTAAAAAAAACAGTTTTTGCCTAGTTGTTTGGATTGCCAGTTTTGCACATATATTGACTGAAATATCTCTCCATTATTTATTATAGTACAGCTCAATCTCAGACAGAGTTGATGGAAAGTGTCAATGAACATCTATTTTCAAGTCTTGCCACATAATTTCAGTAGTTTTTCCCAGTAGCAAAATGCCTTATTAGGTTTACGGAGTAACTATTTTTTAATTAAAAGGTAAGTTGCTTTGGATCTCCATTTTTCCCTTGAGAAATAAAAACAAACAAACAAACTTGTGTATGTGTGTTTTACAAAGTTTTACCAAATATTTAAATGAGATGCAAGCAAAGATAGATATCGTCATTGTAAATTGGCATTATGCTAAAATCTGATAGTTGTCTGTTAATGTGAAGTCATGATTAAAAATTGCACTTCTTGATTGATTTCATTATATTTTTCATTATCATTTCTTTGTATTTGTTTTATAAGCAGTCTTCTGAGTCTAATCAAATCTCAAACAAATAGTAATGTAAATACACACAAGGTATGCTGCTGGCCTCTCTAAAGAGGAAAAAGCAACAGAGAACAGAAAAGCAACCTTGTCCAAATTCAGGAAACTGCTTCTCTTAAGTTGATCCACAATGTCAGGGAGCAGAGTTCAGTTATACACCAAGTGTAAGTGAGTAGGGATTATCCCTAATACTCTGAATTTGTCCTGCCTATTGATGTAATCTGCAGTTATAACGTCTTTCTCCATCACTGCAATGGAGTAGTCAACAAAATACTGTTATTTACACCATAGTTTGTCATGTTTCACCTGTTGGTTACGTATTATAGTTTAATTGGTAGATCAAATCACTGCAGCCTGATATTTTATTGGGAAATCAAAATAATCTTATCATTTTACTTATTTATTTTTTAATTGAAAAAACTGGGGTGCTTTTGAGTACAGTATTTATTACTCAGATACCCCAAAATAAAATCGAGTGAAATCAGGCACTTTCAGCAACCTGTAATAAAAGAAGTAACCTGTAATAAATAAAGTGCTTCTTTGTCATAGCACCAATGTTTACACTGTTTTTCAATGCTTCCATGCAATGCATGTAAGCACCTATTACTCTACACCTAAAAAAAACACAGAATAATTAATTTGGTATTAAGAGATAAGCGTTTTCTGCTGGTAATGAACTGTCACGAAGCATAAATCAGATTTTTATTTTTGTGTTGAATGTCTGTTTTACAATATATTTACCACTAATGACAAACAAAAAAAAACAACACTTTTCTGCAAAATTTACCAGCTGCACAATTCTTGTTAAATAGTGTAAGATAACTAGTATTTCAAAAGAGTAGAACAAATTTTATGTTTTTGAACAATAACAATATTTGTTGTTAGTCTGTTGCTAAAAGATGAGTGTGTTTACTGTTAACCAAGTGCCACGAAGTGAACATCAGATTTTTACTTTTGCAAAATTTGCCGACTGTAAATGTCTTGTATCTAATCAGGCAAGCATTATTTTGAAAGAGCTTATCTTTTATAAACTATATAACTTATTAATTTGGTTTTAAGAGATAAGCGGATTTTTTTCTGGTTAGGAACTGTATAAATCGAGATTTTTACTTCTGTGTTGAATGTGTGTTTTGTAATATATCTACTACTAATGACAAAAAGAATTAACTTGTCTGCAAAATTCACCAACTACACAATTCTTAAGTATAAAATAAGTGGTATTTCAAAAGAGCAGAAGAAATATTACATTTTTTGAACAATAACAATTTTTGTTGCTAATCTGTTGCTAAGAGATGAGTGAGTGTGTTTACTGGTAACCAAGTGCCACAAAGTAAACTTTAGATTTTTACTTTTGCGAAATGTACCAAAGGTAAATGTCTTGTATCTAATCAGGTAAGCATTATTTCGAAAGAGCTTATGTTTTATAAACTATACAACTTGTTATTAATTTGGTTTTACGAGACAAGCGGGTTATGTTCTGGTAACGAACTGCCACGAAGTATAAATCAAGATTTTTACTTTTATGTTGAATGTGTGTTTAATATGACAAAACAATAAACTTTTCTGCTAAATTCACCAACGACACAATTCTTAACAAGTATAAAATAAGTCGTATTTCAAAAGAGCAGAAGCAATATTATGTTTTTTGAACAATAAGAATTTTTGTTGCTAATCTGTTAATCTGTTGCTAAGAGATGATCGCGTTTTCTGGTAACCAAGGTCCACAAAGTTCCACAAAGTAAAATTCTGATTTTCACTTTTGCAAAATTT